AAGGAAAGGCCTTTTTAATTCTGGACGGGCATTCATCTCATTGTTCTTGTGTTGAATTATTAGAAACAGCTGAAGCAATTGATGTTATTTTGTTGTGCCTGCCTCCGCATACCACCCATTATTTGCAACCATTAGAAAGGGTTTTTTTAAGTCATTAAAAACCTTCTACTATCATGCTTGCAGAGAATGGATGCAGGGTCATTCCGGAATTTGATCAGGTATAATCGGAACCTCTCTTAGAATTTTAATACGAGCTGAATTAGGAAGACCTGGATCCTTAATTCGAAATGATCAAATTTATAATGTTATTGTTACAGCCCATTCTTTTATTATATTTTAATTGGGGGATTCGGAAATTGATTGATTGATTGATTGGTTCATCTTATAATTGGTGCCCCTAACATAGCCCTTCTTCGAATAAATAATATAAGATTTTGATTACTCCCCCCATCATTACTTTTATTTTATTAAGAAGAATGGTTGAAAGAAGAGCAGGAACAGGATGCACAGTTTATCTGCCCCTTTCTTCAACTATTGCTCATAGAGGCTCTTCTGTAGATCTAGCCATTTTTGACTACATTTAGCAGGAATTAATATGCGACTCCAGTTTGGTGAACTAGCGAAAAGCTGAAAAAAGTCAGCGACCGCTGAAAATGCAATGGCTGGCTTCAGGGCCACTGGAATATTTCCCTGAAATCCTGATCGCATACCCGATCATGCTTATAAAGTTTCTGATCAAACAATAAACAGCAAAACAAAGGAAGACATGAGAACACTCCCACAAGTAAGGAACATTCGAAAATACAAACTCTACAACAAAGAACGTTGAACCGACACAAGAAGTAACTGCCCAACCATCCAAAAGTCAAATTAAGAATACTAATACCATCCTGTAGCCATGCATATACAGAACTTCGATGTACAACTCCAGTGGAAGTTATCCCTATTCCAGATTTGACACCTGAAAAACTTTTAGAGCACATTAACCCCACACCCAAACTAGTGGTCTCTGCAAAAAAACGAGCAAAAACCGTTGCTACTCTATTAACCTCCCCTGAGCACATTGCAACTGTAAAAAAATAGAACCACAAAGAAACCAACCAAACAAAAACAACATCCCGGAGAGAAAAAAAGCAGAAAAAGGAATTGGCCGAAAAAGAAAACGTTCACCTTCGCCAAGTTCTGATCAGGAGGACAATGAAGAAGTCCAATTTGAGGAAGACAGTGACACCCTTTCAGTGATTGATGAGACCAAATGTACGGGTTACAATCACACCCGAAAAAAGGAAGATTGGTTGCCAGAAGTGGTTTCATAAAAATTGTTCTTCTTTCATAAACACTTGCCAAAACTGTGGTAAAATTGCGTTTAAAAAGAAGTAAATTTATGTTATATGTTAAGCGAGATGTAATGTATTTTGCTCTTAGAAAGTTTGTTATATTTACGTTTCACTATTTTACTGTCCATTATATTTTGTGGCTATCTCTCCCTTTTTAGATTGGCTAACTCACCCAACTAAATGGGGATAGATGGCCAATTGCATCTTTTGTTTATTAAAAAAAAAATTAAAAGTATTTTCTCAGTAATTATTTATTTACCTGTTGTCACAATAGTTGAGTACTAGAAAATATAATGTAAGCCTAACCCCTTTACAGCTTGACAGCCACCGACTTAAGGGACGTCCATTAATTACGTGAGGTATTTAAGGGGGGGGGGAGGGAATCAAGCAAAATTTTTCCAAATCTCACTTGGAGGAGAGGGGGTCTTTGTAAATCTAACGTAATTTTTTTTAGTAGAAAACGGTGTAAAATTGTGTGAAAGTAAAGTTAAATTAAAGTAAAGAATGTTTCTAGAAATTTTATATTACGGCAATATTCTCAAATACTAGTCTTTGCTAGTCTTAAATAAAAGTAATAGAACATATTGTTTTTGTTTTTTTTTTAATAATTCAACGCATTTACACCCAAAATACAAATTTTTAAAAATCTCACGTGAGATTAGAGGAGGGGGGAGGGAGTTGTGAAAATCTTACGTAATCTCACCAGAGGGGGAGGGGGTACTTCACGTAATTAATGGACGCCCCCTTGCCAAAATGGTGACCATCTCACCCGACTTTACCCTATTACATTTTGGTTACTAGAACCTTTCCAGGATAACTAGATACCAATATACCCTCGTAAATCAATAGATTCTAAATATACTAAATAACCTTTTTTTAACTTAAATTAACCAGAACCAAAACTAGTATCTTAAAACAAAAAATGCCTTTATTTATTTCTATCCATATTTTTATCAATAAAACTAAAGGAAAACGAAGAAACTCAAAGACCTTATCATTGAGAACATTTACTACTTTACTTAATAACAGAAGATTTACTGAATTATATCCAAATAAAAACAACAGATAAAAATTATATATCGTTCGTTCTTTGCACTAATAATGCGCTAGTCAAGAATTAAATAATAAACTAGAAAATAAAACACGTTCTCTCAACAATTAATTAAACAAAGTCGATACACCCTAAAAGCCAAAGTTCAAGGGCCTTCCGCATTTATTAGAATAATTATGGTCTATTAAGGAGGCAACGTGTTGTATAGTCGAGGATTAACAACCGTGGATACGACCGACTAATCAATATTAACCCTCTCAGTATCTCACATGTCTCCACCTTGCACAAACACCTGTTATTTGCATTATTATTGTATTGCACGTTGCACGCTCAATATGGCAAATTATGTCTGCCATTCCGTGTGATAATTTCTATGGGTCCCCATTTCTTGCTCATTATTGACCGAATATTCTATATTTACTCGCTCTATTATTTCCACGAACCGTCGTAATTCGTAATGGTTTACAATTGAAAGTATTTTACAGTTTATTATTTTAAGTCTGCTTTTGTTAAAATTTAAATTATAAAACAATGAATTCAACAAAATGTCAAAGTTGTGATACTAAATACCTAAACCTCTCGCACAAGCTGTTGTGCTCAAAAACTTACCGTAACATCATAAAGAATGAAACTAGGAAAATCTAGAAATATGCAGATGTTATTCCGTAAATAGTAGGAGAGCCCACTGCAAATTTCGGCTGTCATCTGATAACGAAACGAAATATGCTCCAGAGGTACATTTTATTTGACGTCATATAAAATATGCTCTATCTATAAATGCTAGAGGTACTGATAAACAATGTCAGACTGATGTAGCAGCAGTGGCGTAGTGATACAGTTGGGGGCCTGGGGCGGCTCTAGCCGAGGGGCCTATATATATTTAATGAGAAAAAATAGATACACAAACTTAGCAGAATAATAAAAAGTAAAAACAAATTAAAAATTATTTTACGGGCCTTCAGTTCTGAAAATTGTTGGATTAAGTCATCAAAACTCACATGCTTAGCGATCTCATTTTCAATGGATAATATAGCTAAGCTTGTCAAACGAGACTGGCTCATTGTAGAACGGAGATAGTTTTTAATTAATTTTAGTTTTGAAAAACTTCTCTCACAAGAAGCCACAGACACACAAATAGTAAGAAACAGTTTAAGCCCCTTAGTTATGTTTGGTAACGATTAACAAAAGTCCATTTCAATAATAAACTTCAACATTTGCAATGACGTCCATTTTTATCATCAATTTTTATTCCAGAAGCCTTTAGATGTCTTCTTAGCCTCTTCACTTCTGGTAATATTTCTTCTTCCACTAAGTCATCAAAAGTATTTAATAATAATAATACTCTCCCTAAATCACCCCCTTACGAGTGAATTTCAATCCCTGAAGTCGACTGAACGACTTGTGTAGGGGAAGGGACGGCTATTATTATTATTTGCCGTGGCGCTCCGGGGCGACTTAAGGATGATTGATGGTGCCATTTGACTTACAGGTGAGGAAAACCCGGAAAACCTCACCCACCATCATCATCAGATTTACTGAGTGTACAACAGCAAATTGTTGATATTCATTATTCATTATTTCTAGTTCTACATAAAAATTATCAATAACACGCTTCACTTCTTGCTGTGGAGTCAAACCTGCATCTTTAGGTTTTTCTCCTGACATATTTTTAACTAGTGTGCGATTTCTGCTTTCTATATCAATTTCCAATTTAGCATAAGTTGTGGTTGTATATTCTAAGGCTTTTGGGATTAGTTCTTCCCGACTCTCTTCTAAAAACATTTTTAAGCTTCTCAACTTCAATACACATTTTTCCAAACTAATACCTTCGATTTGGAGGTATTTTTGCACATGGTTTACTTCAGATAAAATGTGCAAAAAACAAAGAAAATTAAAATTACAAATGTTTGTTTTCAACACCTCCCTTGCCCCCTCGTATCTAGATTCTCAGAAGCATCACACAACTTGTCTAGAGCATTAACCAATTTTTCGAAATTTTTAAATATTGTTTAACTGCATCATGATGAGCACTCCACCTAGTATCACTAAGGAGAATAAAACCCACAAATGATTATTTCATCTCTACTTTCCTGTTGTCAATTTTAACATATCTTACACCTTGACTCATCTGTTCACTGTGAGATATGTCAGGTGTGCTATCAAATAATATTCCATAGTACTTTGCTTTCTTGATGTCATAAATTATTTCTTTCTTTACAGCGTTGCCCATGAGATAGATAAACTTATTTTGCACTTCTGGTGATAAGTAGGTGACTGGAATCATTCCTTTCTTGCAAAGATTGTTGAAGCCGGATACTGTGCTCTTTTAAAACAGGGTCATAATGTGAAAGAAGGTTCACTAGTTCTAAGAAATTACTACGATTTTCAGAGTTAATGTCTTCTCTGTGACCTATAAAAGGCAAATTCTGCTTAGCCAAAAAAGAGTAACATCTAAGAGCCGTTGCAAAATGTCCCTTCATTTCTTCCTCTCTCTTTCCATGATGTTTTGGTGAGCAGCATCGATGGTTTTGTTTTTAAGAAGCCTTGCTTCAAGCATTTTCCATTTCTCTAAGCTGGAAATATGGATATCGGAGCTTTCGTGATCAGACACTTTAAGATTCAATTTTCACCAACTGCTGAATCCTGTGATGAAACTGGACGTTCTTATCGTTTATATAGAAGAGCCTGCAACAAAAGAAAAACAGCGATCTTTTTTCATGAGTATAAATCATCCATTTCCTTAAAATCTTTTCTCCACTAGGAAGCTGTTTATAAAACCAATTTGTTGTTATCTGCCCTAATAATGTCGGTTCTAAGGTCACGTTTTTTCTTCTTGCTCTTGAATGCTTGTTTTTATCTAGTTGATAACAGCTTGTACTTGGACTTGGACTCAATAGATGTTGGACCTCTGGTTGCTCTATTTCATTGATCGCTTGGGATGACGCCCTTTGAGTAAATTTCAACAGTGAACCCGACAAACGCTGTATTTCTTGTTTCTTTGCTTTTTGTCTTTTCTTCTTTTCCCATCCACTAGGATAGTTTTGTTCCATGTTATCTTAGGTTGCTTAAGTGAAAAAATTTTAATAACATTTAAAAGTGCTTATCTAGAAGTTCGGCACATACTATTCAATAAATTTAGTTTTAGATTATTATAATTTTAAATTGTAAATATTTAACCACTCTACATATTAATTAGCACCTTGTGGCACATTAACAACTAAGGAATAGTCAGACACGAACCACCAACAAGGGAAAACACGCAAATCAAATGTGCACAAGAGTCATCTCACTTTTTCACCACTAATTCTCTCCTGAACTGCAAACTGAAATAGCTGGTGCTGTTGGTGTTTGCGGTAAACTGGCATTATCATGGTACGTAGACGTATAGAAATTCGTAAAAACATTTTTACGATTAAAAGTATTTTATTAAATAAAACAAATATAGTTGTCGAACATTCTGGGGCCTTTTTTTGATATTTAGAAAATAAAACTTAAGTATTTTCATATTTGGGGGTCTACGCCGACGCAGGGCCTGAGGCGGGCCGCCCTCTCCGCCCCACCTACGCTACGCCACTGTGTAGCAGTAAGGATTTTACTCAAATGATGGTATCGCATGTACCTACAAAAAAATGGAAGCTAAACTTACATTACCACGAGTCGCCACTGTTTCCCATAACATGATTTCTATTTTAAATTTCGGAAACTTCACCATCCCAGCATAGTGCAATTTTGAAACGTTATAAATATTCATATTAATATATATTATACCTAATTAAAATTTACAATTTTATCACGCTAGAGCTTCAAAGCTGTTACTTAATGTCAGTTCGCGGAAAACGTCAATTTTGCAGTGATTTCAAAGAGAAAAAGATTACTTTGGTAGTCATCATAGAAAAATAATATTAAATCCTATACATATGAATGGACAGATATCTATCTTTTCGGTTGAGATTTTCATTAAACAATTCCAGCTGGCATAGCATCCCCGTATACAGTTTGCAAAGAAAACCATCGTGTACTTTTAGGGTTGAGAGATCAAAGCGACCGAAGTTAACCGGTGAAAATTCTTAAAGTTCAAAGGGTATATAGGGAAGGCTTTCCCTTTCGCTCTCAAACAGGCCCGATTCTTAATGCATTTAGGGAGAACAATCAGTGTAATTTGTTTGGTTAGGCTAGATTAATTCTGGTAAAAAGTGACAGTGCTTTTATGTTTCGCTAAAATATGAATAAGTGGGCAAGTGAAGAAGTCGACAGAGAAAGAAGTTCGTATAAGATTTACGTTTATGATCTTTAACTTCTCTTTTTAATGGTAGAAATTAATTATTATGGCTTTTAACATATTTAATTTTAGTATTCTCGCTAAATGAGAAACGATTACATTATTTGCTTGCTATGATGTAAAAAATGCTGAAAATTTCACACCTCTACTTTTCAACCAATAAGATGCCTTAATTTTGACTAGTTACCATGGCAACTAAAAAATATCCGGAAATTTTTTCGAGGCGCCACAATATTTAAGTGGAAATTTTTTGACAGTTGAAAAGGTAAACATACCTATGATCTGCAACCAATAAATAATGTGAATAATGCAAAATTTCTATAAGAATTAACATTATTATTTATTATTCGCTATAAAGTTTTATTAAACAGAAAACACAAATTTGTTTAATTATTATGCGTTAACAATTTATATTTCAAAAAACGTAGGATGTACAAACATAGTAAGAATTAAATGGTGCTTGAATTCTAACCCATCCTCTCTTCTTAATGGTGAATAATAGGAAGGTGACGAATTAATTATATGTCTGTGTTTTAAGACATATATGTAATATTTTGAAACAATTTTGTTCAAATCTTTTTAGGCAAAAGGCCATATTTACTTGACATCTTCAGCAGACTTTCTTGGATTTTCGTAAACAAACCATTCGACTCTAACGCTTCCTGGTCGTAATCTTCCATTAAATTCGTTAAATATATTAATTTTGGATGACATATATGCACTTGACTCAACTCTTTGCACTATTTACATAAATTGTTCTTTTCAAAGCATTCCATTTTTCTCAAATTGTTTAACGCAAATTCTTGCAAGAAATGTTTTACATAAGAATATCTTTGTTTGCTGGTTTACTATATAGTAACTCAATGTAGTTTACCAATATAAACCTCATCTGTCAAAAGCATGGCCGCCTATTTATCACAGCCACCTACTGCAACAAACCATGTTAATATTATATTTTTTACATTAGAAGTGTTAGGGATTACTTTAACAAAAAATACATTTCTACCACCTTTAGTGACCTAAAATTATGAAAGGATGATAGACTGAACTAATATCCATCTGAGTTTTAGCATTTGCTGTAACTAAAGTTGGTAATTTTTTTATTTAACGAAATATGCTGGATATACCTACATACGAATTTCTTCGAAATTGCATCATGTCACTTGTAAACAATACATTTTTACCATTTTTAGTGACTTAAGATTATCAAAGGACGATATATTGAAATACTACCCATCTAAATCTATCACTTGTTGTAACTAAAGTTGGTATTTTTTTTTATTTAACCAAATATGGTAGATATATCTACAAATGAATATCTTCGCGTCATGTTTCTTGAAAAAAATATATTTCTACCACCTTTAGTTAACTAAAATTACCAAGGGGCGATAGACTAAGCTAGTACCCATCTGAGTTTTAGCATTTGGTTTAACCAAAGTTGGTAATTTTTTTTTTATTTAACTAAATATGGTGGATATACCTATATGATTTTTTTTAGAATTTATTTCATGTTGAACTAATACCTTCATTGACAAATCTTTAATGATATCGACTAATAAGCAAAATAATAACGAAATACATTTAATTATTATAGGGTTTATTAATATTAAAAACACAATTATTATAAATGTTTGTACTTGATGAAATTCTCCTCATGGATTCAATCATCTGATGATGATGATGATGATGTTCAACGTCCAGTTGTAAGTAAAGTTTGATTGACTGACTATTGCTATGTCCAGTAATTTTATTTAATGAGCTGTTGTTCACCATATCCTTCCTTGGTCAAATTCGAAGCAGCTGTTGCTCTTGCAGAATGATTGGTTATTTTAACTTTTTTAGAGTCAATTCCTATATCAGAGGCTGCTGATTTAAACCATGAAGATACAATGATTCTACCAACTGGGCTATTCTTGTACCATCCTTTCGAATTGGGTTGACTCCAGTATGGGTTTGGTGTCGGTCTGAATAAGATTTCCCCTTTTTTCCATCAACTTTTTAAGCAAACCACATTTGTGGATTGTCAAAATTTGTAATCAACCATTTACTATCCGACAGTTTTTTAGAACCACCTTGTGTGGTTTTAGAGAATATTGGATTATATTCTATCCGACCTTTTGAGTTTCCGAAATTATCAGTTTCTTCTTTGAAGTATTGGATACACTCAGAATATCCTTCTGTTACGTGAAATTAATTTTAAATTAATTTCAAATTTATTTTTAACAACAACTTCTCCATAACTCTTCGTAACACAACTTAAATGACCACCGCTCGCTTCCAATTTGAAAAGTATGGTTTGCGCACGGCACCTAGTTTCTTTGGGCATCCACGTCGTCATAAAACCGACTCATTTGGATTCAACCGGTCTTTTGGTGTATCGAATTCAACGTACTAGCTTGTACCGATAAATTAGTTGCTAGAAGTTTGCTAGTAGTTGCCATAATTACTTTGTCTTTTATGTTTTTATTGTGTGTTAACGTTGGGATAATTGTCAGGTAATGTTCTTACACCCTATATTTTAACATTTTGCTGGATTTCGTTGGAAAACCGAAAAGGATCGGCCATTTGCTTTTTTTATTACCATCATGCCGGTTATTATCTACATTTTATTTTATATAGATTATAGCTACCCTAGCTAATAATATTTTTAAGCTCTCTTTGATACTTTAATATATACGCAAGGAGGCAACTAAATAATTGAATTACAAGTCAATCTGGAAATAATAACTTATTTTGGCCTTATAAATAGTTTATATTTTGTTCAGATGATGTAAAACTTCTGTTCAGATGATGTAACTTTAATATTTGTCGTGATATTTTATATTCTGTTCAGACAATGTAACTTTAATATTTGTCCCGGTTATGCATAAGTGCGTTAGATTTCCAAACTGGCATAAATATGTACTTTTACACACAGTACTGAGGTTCTTTTTATTACTAAACCTGTAGTAACTCCAAGAAGCTCCTAGAAGCTCCTAGAAGCTCTAAGTGGCTCCAATAAGCTCCAAGTAGCTCTAAGATCTACTTCAAGAAGTTCCGAGTACGTAGTTGCTCCTAGAAGTTCTAAGAAACAAGAAATCCCTAGTTACGTAGTTGCTCCTAGAAGCTCTAAAACCCAAGAAGTCCGAGTTACGTAGTTTCTCCAAGTTCCGAGCTCCAAGCCCCAAGTATCTAATTACGTAAAGGCGGATTGTCCACAAAAGGGAAGTACCGTACTTACCCTACTAGATAGCCACATGGTCGGAACAATTATTAATTATCTAATTATCTAACAGTATATACTATCAGTCAATTTTAATTCATTTTCTATTCAGATTTAATCACTAACTATTAATTTATTATATTTATTTCATTCTTTTTACTTTTTTTATTAAATTTTCTCACTTTCTTTTATTTGCCAGAACTCATACAGATAACTTTAAGTACCAGAGACTGACTCAATTAAATAGGACATATCAAACCAGATAAGTTTTCCAAGTTACTCAAAAACTTGGTGGCGCTCAATATTTTTTGTCGTTATCGTATTGTAATATCTTTCATTTTATTGTAAATTAGACTTTGGCCCGTGAACCGGTCAAGTTACTCTGATTTCATTTGTCCTGGTCAATTTATGAATCCACGCAGTATCAACAATTTGAGCTAAATCACCTCTTAAGTACAATTTACATCGTAGAAATCTAAAAGAAGGTAACACTTCCCCTCCTCTCCATGCCAACTCATGTGAAACTATGTGAAAAAATTTACGCTGCAATCCGTCTGGAGTATTTTCAT